CTCTCTCTCTCTCCTCCTCTCTCTCTCTATCTCGCTCTCTCTCTCTCTCTCTCTCTCTCTCTCTCTCTCTCTCTCTCTCTCTCCTCCCTCTCTCTCTCTCTCTCTCTCTCTCTCTCTCCCTCTCTCTGTCGCATTCTCTCTCTCATTCTCTCTTGGCACGAGGTTGTCAGCTCCCTCCGGAAATTATCGGCAAAAGTATAGTTCCGTTTGCGATAAGTGCTCGTAGTATAATTGACGCGTGTATATTACAAACAGGATATGGTGAAATGCATTAATTGGTATCGTGCGTATTTGTAACCTTGCAGTCTCCAGAGGTCGTCGTTTTAAAAGATTCCGAATGAAACCAAGCGACGTCGCCTGCCGCGCCTTGCGATGGTTGAAAGCGCATGTAATATCCTGAAATAGCAATTATTAATCAAAACGGTAATCCTCACAATGTCTGCAAAGTTATGATATTGATTATTGGTATTGATTGATTACTAGATTCACTTAGACTTACACTCTAGCGTGATCATATTTGTTCGTTTTGCGCAGTTTGTGGAGCATAGGCCCTGTGCAACTATAGGTGCTTTAGTTTCTCTGACACGTGTTGTCGATCAAACGTCGCTCTAACGCGTATATCGTTGTTAAATTATCGTCACAATAAGTGATACTACTTTTGACTATTACTGAAAGATTGATCATAGTCCCAAGCTCTGTCCTAACCTTAAATTCGCTTGGTCCACTTCCTCTGTTCCGCAAATTTTGACTTCTAATTACCTCTATTTTCTCATTTTAAACATCAACCAGATGGAATCTATTAAAGCAGCAAATGAGCATAAACACACGAGCCAGAGAATCTTCATATGCTCGATTTATTGCCATCATGGCGTCAATTATTGCCACTGAAGCGTTGGATGCCTAGTGGAATCACATCCAGTAATCATCCTCCTCATGCCAAGGCTTCTTGCTACAGCATGACATCGCACTGAGTTACTGACCTGCTGCGGTTCCGCGTGTGTGGTCCCTCCACGGACCTTGCATACTATAGTAGATGCTATTGACGTGTCGCCAATACAACGCGCTCTCCGTGCTGAGCGTAAACGGCCATATGTCCGTCTCTAGGTTTGTCTTGATCTCGTAATCATCTGTTGCAAGTGTGCGACATGTCAGCAAACACTACGGAGTTACGAGGACACTTTATCCGCACGACATTGTTACCGGCGTGCAGGGAGAGCGATAGCGTGATCCGTGCTTACTTGATGTTTCAATACTAGGGTTATTTATTGAGAAAACGTGTTTACAGAGTCCTAGGTTTTTCGCTGTCGATGCGCAACAAAATATGGCTTTGGTGCTATGGTTTTTTCCGTTTCCTTTCAGATTAATGTAATCAAACAGGGAACGCTGCGTTATTCCTACGTCTTGATATGTATTTATCTGTCTAGCTATCCGTATCCAATTACATTGATTTAAGTACCCGTGCCGCACAAGAATTTCCCATTTTTACTGCTCCGATTTCGTTATTTTCTATGACCATGAATTACATGAGCTCTGGCACGCACGCCCGCACGCCCGCACGTACACACAAACGCTTAAGGTAAATGCTTACAGCAGTTGAGTTCGTCAGAGCCGTCTCCGCAGTCATCTGAGTAGTCACATCGCCAGTTCAGCGGCACGCATGCTCTACTGGTACAGTGAAATTTGTCAGCACTGCACGTAGGTTCTGGAGCTGTAGAACAGAATAGAACAGCGTTATTTTTAATAGTCAGATTCTTATTCTGGCACTAAAATACTTGCCAATATTGCCTTTCGTCACTAAATTAATAGAAAATCTACAATTCTAATGTATCAGAGGTATGTGGGTCATTACCGCACTCACCAACTACAGTTCAATAAACGTGTAAAACACTATCTTGCCGCGTTTTAGAAGCCGTACAAAAACCATGTCATTCCTAGGTTTAATATGAATATAAATATATAGCCCTACATTATCGTTACTACAAATATTCAGCAGCACAATTATTGTTAATTGTAAGAGCCTTGAAACGTATAAAAACTAATGTCACGATCACAAAAGCCAGATAAATATAGTAAATATTTAATTGGCTTGATTTTCAAGGCGATACTTACGTGGGTATCCACAATGATCCATCGTGATATCATCAATGCCTATCTGACTCACCACGTCATCAATCGTGGGCTTGTTCACGCTGAATTGCAGCTAGATCGAACATTAAGAATTACATTGGAGTCATTTAAATTGCATGGAGTCAGTTTCGTCGAGTGTTTATATTATATATACGCATATTAGTTTGCTTTTCATATGATACTGATTGTGCGTTAGTGAAATATTGTCGTACCAATATATGCATTACGTAATGTTTATTTATTATACATTGCATACCAATTATGCACTACATTAGTCGTGTATTAGCAATTCTGCGTGAGATAGACACATGTGCGTGAGTTAAGTATGTCTTGCTAATTCGAATTGAGTCCAGGAATCCATCTCTACTGTCCACGCGAAATACACTATAGATCCTTTGTCAATTTGTTAAGGGTACTGTCACCACGCCCAGCGCCGATATACCACGCTACATTCCTGCATATCTTAGTCCTTAACATGTTACGATGTGCTCATGTGTCTGCCGTATACTATAACGATCGAAGCCCTGCATAGTACGTACATAGAAGTCGCTCTCCACCTGGCCGACGTATACTGTTGCCTTCTGCCACTTATTGCCAAGGTTTCCATATACCTGGTATATGGGACTCAATGTGGAGCTTTCATGGTGTCCTAGCTCCATTTTTAGAGAAGGTGAGTACGCTATGTTGGGGGAACGAACACCCGTTATAGCATAAATAACGGTGTATGTCAGCATTACTTCCTACATTTATCGTCATATATCGTATCAGACAAGAATGCTATATGTTATAATATTAATAATAATAATAATAATAATAATAATAATACTACTACTAATAATATATCTGCTCATGCTTTTCCCATTCCCTCCGCTATAAGTTGATGACATATCACACTGCATCGCTG